TTTTTTTTTTTTTTTTTTTTTGTATAAATTGAAAGTAAATTTCAAACTTCTTAAAGTTTTAAAGTTATAAAAAAAGTGGCATGTAATTCAAACAACAATCATATAGTTTGTATTAAATAATAATAATAATGATAATAATAACGACAAATAATAATGGAGTGGGTCGTCATATACACACATGTGGTTGAAAATATTATAAATAGTGCTTTTCAACTGCTTGAAAGGCAATATCCTTTCATGTATTTAAAAATTCAAAATTTTCATTATTGAACTTGTGGAGATAAAAAATAAAATAAAATAACCCTTTATAAGTTTATTTTAAAAAATTAAAAGATTATCAAATAAAATTTAAAATTTTAATTGTGTGTATATGTGCAAAAAAAAAAATGAATTTTATAACTGAAAAAAGTTTTAGTTTTTTGTTTTATGTCAAATATGTATTTAAAATTAAGGAAAAAAAAGGAAAATAGTCCATAAACTTTTGTCAGAAATATAATTCAATGGTGAGTGGAATAAGACAAATAGGGCGAAAGCTTTACGAAAGCTATTTTGAGAGGGCTTTGTTCTGTAAAGGGAAGGCATAATAAGGCAATAATGGAGAGTCAAACAGTGTTTAAGTGGAGGATTTTCCAATAAATAATTAATTAAAAAACCCATAAAGAAATACACACTTGATATTATAAAACAAATAAATGCCCCAAAAAAAAAAAACAATACAATTATAAATATATTGATATTTTCAGGCTTCAGCAATCATTAATCGCTTGCATTTGTAACAATTGGCCCATTTATGAGACATAAATGGTCCGTTATTTTCTAAAAACTATGTTGGAAAAAATTATAAAAATAATTAATAATGTAAAATTAATTTTTAACTGAGCAGAGGCTTGGGAGTGAAGTTGAGGGAAAGCGAGGTTGGGTGGCGGTCCTAACCTAGAATCGCGACGTTTCTCCGTCTCGCACAATCGTGACCGCACATCTTGTTGGAAAAGTCAACTGTGGGACTCCCATCGCTAATTTTCTTAAAAGCATATAAATTAAAATAGAAAGAATATACTTGGCTTGGGGTTTGCTTGCGTGTGGTTACTGTAGGTCCACGTGGGCATGTGAAGGGTTTTCTTGAAGTGGTGGACGTGGAAGAGTTGGGGCCCACCTCGAGGAGTGTCGGCTCGGTTGCACCTAACGGACAAAACTGAAGTGTCCAGCTCACGTGATCTTAATTTTATGCCCTCTGGCATCTGCCTGTGTTCCCATCCGGTTCGGTTGCTGGGGAATTCTATTTTTTAAAAATTTTTTTTTTTTAAGATTAAAAGGATGGGCTTTAAAGGTCCAAAGGCCTGACTATCTTTAAAGCCCAAATACGATATTGGTCTGGACTATTTTGCCAATTTAATTTGGGCCAGAGGCCCAGTTTTCTCTTCCCAAGTAAATATTTTAGACTATACCAACTTAACTTTTAATTATTACTTTGAATACCAATTTATCTTTCTTTCATTTAAAACTCAATTCAAATAATATATTTGGGGTAAGAATAAAATTATATTTGTGACAATATTTTTTCATTTTTACTGCAAGGGAGACTTTAATTTATTCAATTTGAGACATGTTTTCACTTAGAAGCAGGACCTCATTTTTTGTTCCCCTTTTCAAACGTGTTCGATTGACGACAGCTCAAAAAGCTTGTTACTGTATAGGGTCCATGTTTAGGCTTATATAGTAGGCAATATAGTCCATGCCATAACAAGAAAATTGAATTAGGGTCCATGTTTTTCAATTTTGCTGTAAAAAATGTTCAAATTTGGTCAAATTGAGACGCTAATATATTTTTTTTCTCGGGCCATTTTAGGTAATTTTTTAAAGGGCTTTATAGGTGACTGTTTTCATTTTGCAAATGCATAAATTCCAAACATTCCATTAAAGAATAAATCTTCAATTCCTTAACCTTAAAAATAACAAACAAACAAACGACTACAATCAATTCAAAAGAAACGGCAACATCTTATTTTAGTACAAAAATTACCAACATTTTAAGTATAATTATAGAAGTAATAAAACATTACAAATTTGTTGATTAAATTTATTAAATTGGAATGAAAAAGTCAACGTTTGGTCGGTGGCTTATTTGTCAAGATTTCAATTTCTTTTTTCCAACACATTTCTGATATTTTTCTCTTGGGATTTTAAAATCCTAAAAAATAAATAATAAGAATTAGTATTATTATTATTATGGGCATTAATTAATTTCCCCAACAATAAATTCTGAAAATTGGGTACTAATCAATCCAACAACCTCCCATTCCATTCCATCATTTTCCATCATCATTTTGTTTGGTACTACAAATTCACATTATTTCTTCTTCTTTTCTACTTTTTCCTCCTCGACTCGTACGTACCAATAAAGACGTGTATGCCTTAAAGTGGAGATCGACCCTAGGAAGACGGGAAGTAACGAATGATATTCAAAGCATTCAAAAAGAAAAGTGAATACGAGTGAGTCGAGTCGAGTAGAGTTGGTCGTGAGTGAATGAAAGAGATGCCGACAAAGGAGAAAGAAAGAAAACAAAAAAAGAGAGGAGGAAATTAGAATGATGTAAATTAAAGACAAGACAGGTGGGCCATGTCAGGTGGTCCTTCAGACAAGTCTGTACAATCTCTCTCTCTCTCTCTCAAACCCTTTTGTCTGTGTGAGCAAACACCAGAAGCTCGATCGACCACCATCAATTCAGATCTCTCTAGAAAAAAAAAACAGCTTTCTTTTTGTTGACATGAACATGGAGAGCATGGGAGGTGCAATCATTTCCCATGCTCATGCGTTTCTCACTTCTATCCTCCATGGCTTGTCTCTGATGCCCCACCCATCTGATCACAACCTGATATTTCGTTCAACGGCTCGATCTCCAAGCTTATCGATCGGCTTTTTCGGTTTCTTCTATCCTGCAAAGTTGTATGTAAACATAAACTTTCCAATCATTTCTTTGAACAATCGTGGTTAGTCCATTCCTAAAAGATATTGTCCTCTTTCGTTTTTCCCTCAAAGTTTTTAAAACATGTATGCTAGGGAGAGGTTTCCACGCCCTTATAAACCATGCTTCTTTCCCCTCTCCAATCAAGGTAGAATCTCACCACCAACCCTTCGGAGCCACCTCAGAGCCAATGTCCTCACTGGCACTTGTTCCTCTCTCCAATCAATGTGGACATACTCAGATGATATAGTAACATGACAATGCATTCTTGTAAACTCAAATGACTCGGGTTTCCTAGCCGAACCCGCATAGTTAAAGTGTTTTGGCTAGTAATTAAGAATGTTTGATGAGTTAGCTGCCAACACAGCCATGCCAAAGCAGGACCACCTTCTACATGCATCTAACAGGTAGCAGCAGAAGTGTCCAAAAACTTGGTCACAATAGACTTAAATGCAGGTTTCACAAGAATTTAATAGCCATTGTCCTATAATATTCTCCGGGTTAGGTAACTGCAAACTCCTCACATGGTGAAGCCAGAGAAACTCGAATCAATATTGTTACCTAATGCATACCTATATTGGAACCATGTTCTTTTAAAGAAAATCATCATTGTAGAGCTAACCATGTATTATCAGTGAAACGCTTGAAATGTAGACAAACGAGAATGGACGATAATCGATCATGCAGTCACGAAAACAAGATACTGATTTTGGTACCTCGTGAAGTGGAAATTCATCGGCTTCCAGCATCCTTACAACTTGACTCATCTTGGGTCTCTTGATTGATTCGGGATCGATACACCGAAGTGCAACGAGAAGGGCACGTTTCAATGCTCGAGTAGTAGGCTTTACGTCAAGATTCATGTCCACAACTTCCTCTGCTCTCCTTGTTGCTACCATCATCTTTAGCCACTCAACAAGATTAACCTGACAAAAGCATTCAAATATGACCATCAAGTCAGGATATGGGAGGACACAAATGGACAATTGTGAGATCCCTCGAAGTTTTTAAAACGTGTCTGTTAGGGAGCGGTTTCCACACCCTTATAAAGAACGTTGCATTCCCCTCTCCAACCAAATGTGAGAGGGATCTCACAATAACTATGGTACAAAATGGTCTAATAATGGATACCTCATTAGAAGGACGGGCATAATCCACCGGGTCTCTCCCTGTAATTGCTTCCAGCAAGAGAACGCCGAAGCTATAAATGTCACTCTTTTCGTTCAACAAACCGGTATTTGCATATTCAGGTGCCACGTACCCAAATGTTCCCATAACTCTAGTTGTAATATGACTCTCCCCAGAGTCCAAGAGTTTGGCCAATCCGAAATCGGAAACTTTGGCATTGAACTCATCATCGATCAAAATGTTGCTTGATTTTATATCTCTATGAACAACTTTTGGCTCGATTGCTTCGTGTAAATACGCAAGCCTGCACGAAGTAAACATATTTGCATCTCAGATAAACAAGTCTCTAAGCTAAAGGTCGACTATATTACTCCGTCCTTATGTTCAAAGACTTACGCCTTCGCAGTGCCAAGAAGCACCTTCATACGAGCCTCCCACGTAAGCGTGCCGTGTTGGCTCATGGCTCCATGTAGCCACTGTTCTAGATTGCCATTGTTCACATATTCATAGACTAGCATCCTACATAAAGAAAACAGGTAAAGCCAATTTGTTTATGGAGACTAAAGTAGTTGATGAGTTCTTTAGTCCTACCTATGAACGCCTTCTATGCAATAACCGAGCAATCGAACGAGATTCTTATGTCGAACATGGCCAATAGCCTCCACTTCGACTCGAAATTCTTTCTCTGCCTGACCCCTAAATGCATTTCAAATCATAAAACAAGCATTCCAAAAGCATTATATTAGAATAGAACATAATGGATCTTTGAACAATAAATCCTTACAGATTATTGAGAAGCTTTTTCACGGCAACTTCAGTGTCATTGATGAGTCTGCCTTTATATACAACCCCATATCCTCCCTCTCCAAGAATATTTTCGGACGAAAAACGATTCGTTGCAAGCTGTAGATCCCTGAGAGTGAACCAGTGACCCCATCCAAGATGTGAAACTTCTGGCAAGCCTACGAGAGGCGACGGTGGCACAATTCCTCCGTACGATCTAGCTTTTCCAGAGCTTCCTTCTTCCCCTGATTGTGAATTGCCTGCTTTTTCGTGTCGATAATTCGAACTGCCTTGGCTGTTATTATCAGGCTCAGTTGATTTTGTCACAGCCATAACTTCAGAGTTTTCATCATTCCTTTTGATATCAACCGAAAGAAGTCGATTTTCGGGGTGGTCATTGGGAGTTTGAGTTTGAGTTTGAGTTTGAGCCCCAACCTGGTCTATCCTGATATCTTTTGAAAAATTAGGTATCTGGGACATGGGGAATTTATCCATGGATCGTTTAGATTTTTTTCTAAACAAGATCCAAATAGATAATAAGCCAAGAATCAAAACTATGAATGCACCAATACAAATACAGATCAAAACCCACAACGACAACCCCCAAAATGAAGTCCTCTTGGATAAATGATCATTCAATGAATTCCCAGACGCCATATCTGATTCACCCAACACTGAATTTCAAGTTCAACCTCAAGTTCTTATCAAATTTCACAAACCCATCTGGAAATTCAGGCAGGAAATAAGTCAGCACTTGTAAACAACAAGAACCAGCAGTTGATTGATAGGAACAAACAATGAAGGAATGTTCTCCATAACAAAAACAAGTAAACCCACAATTTGTCGATCCAAAACAAGAAGACAAAACAATGTAATTGGAGAAATAGAGAAGGATTTGAAGAACAAGGGATTTACCTGATGAAGCAATCGAAGATAGACCCAGATTTCGGCGTTCCTCCAGGAACCCAGAAAGGGAAAGAAAGCAAAGCGTGGATAGCCAATAGAGCCCCAAAAGGCATGGGGGAAATGCCAAAATGTTGGTCTGAAATAACTCAAACCCAACAAATCCAGAGCCCCCAGAGAGACATGGTAGAAAAAGGAGCAATAAAGAAGCAGGGATAGTGGGCCAATGGGAAATTGTGAGAATGATAAAATAGAAGATGGAAGAGGAGAAGGGCACACACAGACAAAAATCTAATCCCTAGAGAGAGAAAGAGATTGAATAAGATAACTGGAGAGGATATAAAGGGTGAAAATGGTTGGTGGGTATTGTAAAGGAAGCTTGGTTTGCAATGGAGGAAAGCACAGAGAGTAAAAGCAAACAGTAAAGGAAGCGAACCCAGAAGAAGAAGAGCTCCCAAAACAGCGTTATAAGAGATGATCCTGGTGGTTAATGGCATTAATTCCACAAGTGGGCCGTAATCATTTGGAGCAAAAGGAAAAGGGCATAGCCAAGAAAACGGTGAAACTAAAAGATCAAAAGAAACGCAGCCCAAATTAAATTATAAAGGAAAGCCGCCGACGTGAGAATCGGAATGGATTCAAGCTTTGTTCTTATTTCTTCTTCTTGATATCACGTGTCGTTTCTATCTGACTGCAGCATGCTCATTAATGGACTAAGACCTTCACCACTCTCCTCCCTCGACCTTTTTCTTCCTTGCATTATATAAAAAAAAAAATATTTGAATTTAAATGTTTATATTAAAGAATGAGAAATTTTGAGTTGGGAATGGGTTGAATTAGGTGTATAAGAGATTGGGATAATTTGGTTTGATTTCATGATCCTTCAATTTTTTTTCTTGTTTTTAAAAATATTTTAGGTGGACTCAACATTTGAAATTACATTGAAGAAAGTGATTTAATTTGGGTTTAAATTTGGGTGAAATGCATATAGCAACCAATTTCCTTTAATTCTACTTAATGTCCATATTTGAAAAAACAGCTTCATCTTTTCTTTTTCATCCCAAGCAAAATTAATGTACAAACTCCTCCTCCTCCATATATATATACATATATATATATATATTGAAGTCCAATGATATTACCTAAAGAAACGAATTTATTATCCTAACATTTTTTCAGTTAAATAACATTTTTGGGTATTGTAATTAGTTGGAAGATTTAATTTATTTTTATTGTTTTAAAATTTCCGACCTTGGAATTTTAGAAGTTTTAATTTGATTATTTGATTTAGTTGGAATGCATAAATTAAAATGAATTTTTTAGGGTAAACTTAAAAAAAAAAAAAAAAAAACATATCCAACTAGTTATTACCGTCCAATAATTTATTTGATTTGAACTCTAAACTAAAAGGATTAAGCAAAGCAAACAGAAGATTAAACGAAAAGCTTGATAATTCCATAACATGAAACATCCAAATATTTAGAACACATTAGGAAGTAGAAGCTAAATAGGAGGAGGAGGAGGAGTGATGATCACTTTCCAGGTACAAAGTTAGTGGCAAAAGCCCAAGCGTTGTTGTTAACAGGGTCGGCCAAATGGTCAGCCAAGTTCTCCAAAGGTCCTTTCCCTGTCACAATTGCCTGCACAAAGAATCCAAACATCGAAAACATTGCCAATCTTCCATTCTTCAGCTCCTTCACTTTGAGCTCCGCGAAGGCCTCTGGGTCGTCAGCGAGCCCCAATGGGTCGAAGCTGCCCCCTGGGTAAATTGGGTCCGTGATCTCACCCAGCGGCCCACCTGCAATTCTGTACCCCTCCACGGCTCCCATCAGCACAACCTGGCAAGCCCAGATCGCCAGAATGCTCTGCGCGTGAACCAAGCTCGGGTTCCCCAAATAGTCGAGCCCACCCTCGCTGAAGATCTGAGACCCGGCTTTGAACCACACGGCCTCGCCGAATTTCACGCCGTTGCGAGACAGAAGCTCCGGGAAGACGCAGCCAAGAGCTCCAAGCATGGCCCACCTCGAGTGGATCACTTCCAGCTCACGGTTTTTGGCGAAGGTCTCTGGGTCAGCAGAGAGGCCAGCAGTGTCCCAGCCGTAGTCGCCGGGGAACTCGCCGGTGAGATAGGAAGGGGGCTCGCCGGAGAATGGGCCCAAGTACTTGACACGATCAGGGCCGTACCATGGGCTACCGGAGGAGACGGGCTTGGGCCTGCCAGCGGTTTTCCTCATGGTGACACGGCTCTCGCCGAGGAGGTTGGAGGCAGCGGCGGGGGATAATTTCACGGCTTGGCCGGCGAGAGATGGGGAGGACAAAGCCATTGATGAAGCTGCTGCCATTTTCGCTGTTGCTGTTGTTTTCTGTTTGAGTTGAGTGAAGATGAAGAATTTAGTTAAGGGTTTGATTTGTTTTATAGAAGTAGAAGAGAACAGGTCCTCATCCTGATGAGATCTCTATCTATTTTCTCATTGGCGAAAACGAAACTGGAAGATTTTTTTGGCGATGGAGAAGTGGGACAGGACACACCTTTGCAACTGGCAGCCTCTCATCCACAAATGCCTTGGTAGGAGCTTTCTACTTCCATCTCCATATTTTGCTGCTTCACTGTCTCAGCCAATGACACAACTCCACGTCCTCTTTATCTTCGATATCATGGGACTTCCGATGATAAGGATAAGAAAAGGAGAATGCTTTATGGATTTGCCCTTCCTCATTGGTGGTAAGGTAAATCTAATAGATCCTCAAAAGAGGGGGCATATAAAAATCTTTCAAGGAGAGATTTTGCATTGAAAAACAGAAATTGATAGTTAGTTTCTGTATGTAGGCTACGCCTTATCAAACTCAACCAACGTAATGTATGTTCCCATCAGAACTAGGGTGGTACATAATATGGGTAATTTTACAACATAATCTGCAAAACTTCAAGCTTCTAGGGAAGCAAAAATTGTACAACAATTTTCCCCTCAAAGAGAACGACCAATCCTTGGCTACTATGTGCAGAGGGGCGGGGAAAAGAAGAGGAGAACGGAAAGAAGCATATAGAACCTCCATGTATGTGCGGCTGCAGGTTTGATTACCTCTCACATGTGATGTCAGTCATCAACTTTTGTTGAAATATACAGAGCAGGTGTCAAAGCATCGTCAAACTCTCAACATTCATCTTCCCGTATGTTAGATTTTGTATCTCTGGTCATGATTTATTTCATGTAAACATGAGCAGCCTTAATCGGTGGCGTGTCCTCCGAGTCTTTCATTATATGGGACTTGCTCTGGACACCTGCAAAGAAATGAGAAGAATTAAAAGAAGATGGAACAGTAATAATTTTACAGATGCTATTACTCTTTTGTTCAATCATTGCCCCACTCAATAGAATTTAATCAATCATCTTTTCTGTTGTAAAGGTGGAGAACTAGACCAACAATTCCCCTACTTAATCATCAATTGAATCTTGTTCGAGGCCAAGGATTCTATTTTATAGAATCAATCCATTCACAGTTCACATTTCTTCTTTTCCTTACCAATGAATATGTCTCTTTACTGGTATGACTTAGATGTCATATTTCTCTTAACCAATGAATCACTTCACTTATCAATGGTGTCAACGAAAAAGGATTAAGCCGTGGGCTGCAGGCCAACTAATGAATGGATGTTTATTAAGTTGATGTAGAACAATGAGATTGAAAGAAACAGAAAAAGAAACTGAAAAAGGTTACCAGACCTCTCCAAGAGCCAAGCTACACCTAGAATAATCTGTCAAGAAAGGTTCTATCCTTGTTCATTCCAAGGATTCAAGTCTGAGAAGGAAAAGGATACTGACCAAAATGAAGTATCCCACAAAATCTATGCTAAAAAGTAACAGTAATCAAGGATCGAAATGGAAGTTAGGAAAAAGAGCTTAGGCTTTTATGAGAAATATCGAAGAAATTGGAGTGGTTAGGATGTCCCTGCATCGGATCACTAGATGATAATTTTTACGGTGCAAAGTCACTTCAGGTTTTGATCCATTCATTAGCTTACATGCTTGTCTTATTCTTTACATTCACAAGTAATAAATCAAGAACAAATCTTGAAAAATATAACGTTGATACTGCCAAAGTGAGATTAGCTCAGTGGTAATTATCAAATATTCTTTCTTTTGGGATTGAAATCCTCATACTCCCCATTTTAAACTCAAACAAAATAATAATAATAATAATAATAATAAAATAATAAAATAAATGTTGATACTTCAGATGGTGATAGGAAGAAACCTGATTCTTTGAACGAGTTACAGCAGTCCAACCCTGAGGATTTACATCTGCTGCCCCATGGCTTATAAAAGCAATTGCCCTTGATTCTTCTTGTCTTTGAATTTTTTTAGGAGGTGGCAACTCTCTCATAGTCCACACTAAAAAGGCCGATGGAATCAAAGAACCTAACAAGCAAACATGTTTGAACACAATAAACAAAAGCTCACTAGTAAATGGAAAATGGCATGAATTCATTTTCTCTGGGATGTCTAAATCCACCATTTAAAGTATAGTTCAGGAAATTACAACTAGAACACATTCATGATCATCAAAGACTTATAATCCTATATTTTAAATAGGAACTATAAATGATGCTCGTTAGACAGTTCAGCCCACTTATTGATAACAATAGGAAGGAGCAAAGATGCCCCATATATCTAACCTCTTGGACTAATTTACCAATTACAAAGTATCTGAAATTTATGAGAAACATAAGGATTGAGAAAAGGTGAGTGAGCTCTTGACATTTGAAGAAACAAAAGGCAAAAATGTTATACTAATCTCCTCATCATAAACAACCAAACTACTATTAGTGACTAAGTGACCACAAATAAATTACATGAGCTACAAAGCCACCAGAGGTGAGTAAACTTCTTTCTGTTGCGTAGTTGCTTGTTCAAGCAATAGATCGAATGTAGCCATCATATCAGGTTCATAGAAACAGGGAACTCTACTAACACAATGTCAATAACATTATTAAGATAATGCACCCTGAATTTCAATTACACGTAAACTCTCTTAGCAAGTGGCGCATGAAAAGGTTTTTAATAGCTTAAAAAACTTCGGAGGACAATACAAAATTTCAAAGAGGATATAAAATTTCTGCCAAAATTAACCTAGAAGGCAACGAGGGTCGACTATCTGACACTCAAATAGTTTAGAACCCAGATTCATAAAAGAAATAAAAAAGACTTACCCATGCAGAAGTACAATGTCAAAAGGACTAGTGCTTTTACTCCATTTATTCTCTTGACGCGCCAATTATAGGAAAGCTATCATAAGTGATAGAGAAGTTAGAAACTTAAAAGGAATATACATACATGAAATCATTGACAACCAGTGAGGTTCATACACTCTTACACACAGAGAGTCTACGACTTACAGGAATATCTGTAAGAAGATCCACCAAAGCACTTGATGTAAAACACACAACGCATACAACTGCTAGACCACCAACCTGCATGTAATAGAATTATTCCAGAATCATGAGATTTCTTAGATTTCAGAAAAAAAATCCCAGATTGTATTCCAGAATAATGAGTCAAATACCTTCTTCATCTCTGAAGAAGCTTCCTCAGAACGTACTTTTTTCAGTCTGTAAAATAACATGAAACCTGAAAATATTTCAGGAGAGGAAATCAGAGCAGGATCAGTATGCCAAGAATATAATCTCAAACAATGTGAAATTCTAAGAAGAAAACCAAAACTATCAGGAGAAAATACTCACCATAGAAGCCTAGGGC